GTTAACAGAGTACCACCAGTTAACAGAATACCACCAGTTAACAGAGTACCACCAGTTAACAGAGTACCATCAGTTAACAGAGTACAATCAGTTAACAGAGTACCACCAGTTAACAGACACTTAACTGAGTACCAACAAAAAATATCCAAAAAATACTGTAAATATATCCGGAAATTATAAGAGACTTTTCCCCCCCAGGACAATCAAGGGTAGATTAAAATGCGTAGACAGATTTTTAAATAAAGTTACTGTACGTCATCTACTGTCTTTAATGTCTACTGTCGTTTCTGTCTACTTTCATCTACTTATTATTCTACTTTATTTATCGTCTACTTTCCATCTACGTTCTTTTTTTCTTTTTTCTTTTTTTATTCTTAATCCGTAAACCTTTTTTAATCTGCCAAGTGAGAGATGTTCTGTCTGTCTGTCTGCCTGTCTATCTGTCTGTGTGTCTGTCTGTCTGCCTGTCTGTCTGTGTGTCTGTCTGTCTGTCTGCCTGTCTATCTGTCTGTCTGTCTGTCTGTCTGTCTGTCTGTTCCATATTATAATACTGGTGATATGACAATGCTACATCGAGATTATACATGATTAATCTATTGTAACACACACACACACACACACACACACACACACACACACGTATATTACATTTGTCATTTGAATAAAAAACACACTGGGGTTGGGAGGGAGGGGAGGGGGGAGAGGGAGGTGGGAGGGGTGATGGGGGTGGTTGGGTGGTGGGGTGACTGATGGCAAGCAAACAAGTAATTCATTGTCAACAGAGCTGGGACAAACACAGGTTTTTGCCCTTATTTCTGTTTTAATCAAGAGATATTCAATTAGTGGTAACATGCAGGGAGGTGTGTGTGTGTGTGTGTGTGTGTGTGTGTGTGTGTGTGTGTGTGTGTGTGTGAAGTGGACGATTATGATGATCATGATGACGATGACGATGGTTCCGTTTGTCATGAACATCATCATCATCATCACCATCATCATCATCATCATCATCATCATCATCATCATCATCATCATCATCGTCATCATCATCATCATCATCATCGTCATATTTCCCTACCCTCGTCCTTCAATAACTACCTTCACCCTTTACCAGGCACCATCTGGCAACCTGTACAATATTTAGATTGAAATTGAAACTATTGCATTTATAGGTTATTGCAAAACGTTTTCACTCTGCAATGACTGAGGCTGTTATTTTTTTAAAGCATCGAATCCTTTATTCTCGTCTATCACTCTGTCAAAACTTTCAAAACGCATCGAATCTTTTAAGTAAAAAATTGGCAAAAGGTTCAAATCCATTCCAAAACAAATGTTCAAAATCGTATCGAATTATTTATATCAGCATTTTCACGAGGATCTGAATCTCCTTTTTATTTTTTTAAGGCTTCGAATCCTCAATTAACATATTGTAAAACGAAACAAATTGAATCCTATATAGTATAAAACCTTTCAAAGAATATATCAAATCATCTATAGTTTGACATAAGAGGATTCGAAAGCTTCAGAAAAGTATCCTATCATGAAAATATAAAAGATTAGATCCCTTGTGAAAATTTTGATATTGACGACTCGATCCCTTTTGAAAATGTCGACACAGAGGATTCGAAACTTTCAAAAGGGTATTGGATCCTTCATAACATATACATTTATTCCCTTTCATTTAGTGACAAAGGGAGAAAGGTTCTAACTATCTATATCACTTGTTTGACCCATCTAGATGTGTCTAATTGGCTGAATGAAAATAAAAATAGGACTATCCAATACCAGTTAGTTAGGATAATGAAAATACAAAAATCAAATCTATAGATGACATGAGAGACGGGAGGTGATTGCTGTTGTTGTTGTTGTTTTAGTTGTTGTAGTGGTTGTTGTTGTTGTTGTTGTTGTAGTGGTTGTTGTTGTTGTTGTTGTATTAATAGTTGTAGTGGTTGTTGTTGCTGTTGTTGTTATTATTGTTGTTTTTCTTGCGGTGGCATTCGTTGTTGTTGATTTGGTATTATCATTATTACTGTTGTTTTTGTTGGTGATTTTGTTTTTGAATATCGTACCCAATTATCTATCATCAATATGCGTCAGTTATCAATTATTTGCGTCAATTCTTTCAACTATTAATCTGGGTCAATTATTTTTTTTACAATTATCAATGATTCATTTCTCTCGGTTATTCACTCCTGTTGACCAATTATTCAGTACTCTTCTTTTTTTTCTTTTCCATTCATCGATGTGAATGAATTTTGAAGTTTTTTATAATTATCAGAGACGAATTATCAAAGATGGATTCTCAAGAGACCCGCGTTAGCTAATATATGAGAAGGTAACTAACTCACTTAAGCCACGAGACACAGAGGACGACGGATACAGATGGCGCAGTTATTACACCAAGACTCTACTGTATACAGCCTAACTTAACTGGACCCATTTGTCTCCGGTTAAGTTAACAGGTGATATTAACTTAGGCATCAATGAGCGTCTGGATCTGTGTAAATGCGTAAATGCACGTCTATACTGTCCATACATAAAAATATTGGTTTCCCCTTGTGTAACGAGGATGGCCGGCACAAGAGCCACCTGGGCGTGAATTTGTTTAAGGTGTAGAAGCTGTCACCAACACAACAACCACACCCTGAGTGAACGAGCTGTATGAACCAGTCTCAAGGAATAGTTCGAGAAGACCGGACAACTCGCCACCTGCTCTGGCTAACCATTACCCCGGAACACGATCCATAAATCGATTAACATCCAGGTTCCCAATTACTGCTGGGTAGACAGAGGCAATTGGCGTAAAGAAACTTGCCCATGCTTCACCCTGCCCGGGAATCGAACCCGGGTCCGATCGCTTGCGAGGCGAGCATGCTGAGCATTACACCACAGGTCGCCACATATATACATACATACATACGTACTTAATTATATATTAAATTTATCAATGACCAAGGAACCCAATATGACTGCGAACAACTTCATATTTCTCGCCTCTGCTGACGGTTGTTCGCTCGAGCGGCCAAGTCTGTCACACTCATCCACCAACTTTCAGGGGCGGTGTAATATTTCAGTGTGATTCTGATCTTTGAAAATATTAGTTTTTGCATCATGTAGTATTACTGATACGTAATTTGTGTTAGTATGCCTTATTGTGGGTAAAAATAAGTATATATCAACTGCGTCCTCCGAAAGCATGAATTTGCTACCAGAGTTTAACAGTTAATTCATGTATAAGATTTCTGATAAACTTCCTACTTGCTCATGTTTGTAATAATAAATGTATCTTTATATAATATAGCTAAATATCTTTTTCGCCAGAGACGGTCATCCAACGATTATAAATACACTCATTTAGAAATACATTTAGATAGTAGGTAGGTAGTAGGCAGCTACCAAACAGGGAGGTACTACCGCCTGGGAAGATATTGGAAGCATAAAGTGTTGTCTGTGGTAGACCCTGCTGCCATATGACATCACGAAAATTGTTACCAAGTCCCAGGTTGCTGATCTGAATTTCTGTCTCAATTACACACAATTGCAGGGTCTCAATTGTTTCTCTTATTATTGACAACACAACATACATATATTTATTCTCACCTTTGATCTTTTTTTTGTATGTCTTTATGGTTTATTATTATTATTATTATTATTGTTATTATTATTATTATTATTATTATTATTAATACATTTTCGCCCCCCAGGCCCCGATGTGGGTCAGTGACCTGTGCCTGGGTGGGCTCATCCCCGTAAAAAAAAAAACTTCAGAACGAAATCGGACAGATTTGCAACAGCCAATCAGCTCTAACTCTTGAGGAGGGGGCGGGGCATCTCTTCTCAGCTGGGAAAAAACGCACTATAATCCTCAAGAAGGATATGACTTACACTGTACATGAGCAACTGTCCTGCGTGACGGTGAACAGTGATAGCATCTACAAGAATATGACCTGCACTATTAATGAACATAACCTATACTGTTATCCCCTTGTGTATGAACCTCTGTCCTCAAAGCTTTGCCAATTAAGTTATTAAACTAACTCTCTTCCTCTATTTTTCATTCTGCTCCTCTCTCTCTCTGTTTAACTCATCTTTGCTTTCTCTCCTCTCCTCTATCTCTTCTTCTCTCTTTTTTCCTTTCCTCTTCTTCTCTCTTTTTTCCTTTCCTCTTCTTCTCTCTTTCTTCCTCCTCCTCTTTTTCCTCACACCTTCACCTCTTCCTCCTGCTTCCTCCTCCCACCTTCTCTCATCACCTCCCCCTCTTCCTTCTTCCACCTTCTTCTCCTCCTCCTACCCACCTCCCCTCATCACCTTCTCCTCCTCCCCCCCCCATTCCACCTCACCAAATTCCTCACATCTGAGAATTATAAGTCTGACAAAAACTCCAAATTTTTTTCGTAACTTAATTAGCAGTTGTATCACAGTAATGAGCAAGGAGACGCCACGGTCCACCTGTCCATGTGGTCTACTGGTCCATGTGGTCTACTGGTCCATGTGGTATATTGGTCCATGATCTACTGGTCCCTGTGGTTTACTGGTCCATGTGGTCTACTGGTCCATGTGGTCTACTGGTCCATGTGGTCTACTGGTCCATGTGGATCTACTGGTCCCTGTGTTTACTGGTCCCTGTGGTCCATGTACTGGTCCATGTGGTATATTAAGAACTAAGATCATAAGAAAATAAGAATGCAAGGTCGGTTGGCCTTGAATGGCAGCTCCTGTCGAGAGTTACTACCCTCTCTATCATCCGAATCAGCTCTTTGAACTTTCCAGGTTGCATACTACAAAGTTGCAAGCTTGTTCACTCGTCCAACCCTATTGTAGACCAGTTTCTTCCTATCCCCTCTAAACTAAACTTATCCAACTTAAATCCGCTGCCCGGTCTTATCCTGCTCGGATATAAAGAACTTTATCTATCCCTTTATTGATTCCTTTCACCCACAAATACTTCCATATCTCCCCGCTCTTCGTTTTCTAGGAATGCAAATTGTTCTTTAACCTATCCGATGTGGTCTACCTGTCCTTGCTGGTCCTTGTCTACTGGTCCATGTGGTCTACTCGTCCGTGTGGTCTACTGGTCCGTGGTCTACTGGTCATGTGGTCTACTGGTCCATGGTCTACTGGTCCATGTGGTCTACTGGTCCATGTGGTCTACTGGTCCTGTGGTCTACTCATCGTGTGGTCTACTCGTCCGTATGGTCTACTGGTCCATGATCTACTGGTCCATGTGGTCTACTAGTCCCGTGGTCTACTGTCCATGGGTCTCTGGTCCATGTAGTCTACTGGTCATGGTCTACTCGTCCGTGTGGTCTACTGGTCCATCGAAAATACTGTTGATATTTAAGTTCACGTGTGTGTGTGTGTGTGTGTGTGTGTGTGTGTGTGTGTGTGTGTGTGTGTGTGTGTGTGTGTGTGTGCTGTATACCTTCACTGTCCAAAATAAAATAAAAGACATTAAAACAAGTCGACAGTGTCTTATATCCTTTAACACGATCTAACCTAACCTAACCTCAATTCTCCAAACTTCAGGCCAGCTACGATTCCTTCCCGCTGTTTTCATATCGATTCAGGATCTTCAGCCGTCCTTGCCCCCCCCACTACCTCCTGAAGGATCCATAACTCTACTTTTAAGTTGGAAGAGGATCCTGCCTGGACATGTATATTGAGGCATCGTCAAACGTTTCACGGCTTAGGAAAATAGGACACCTTATTTGATGTCCTTACCCAAGTACGTGATGATAAACCGAGAGAGATTACCACTGACTGATTCCTTCCCTCCAACCTTTCTTAAGAGAACCTCCCTTTCTCCCCTCCCACCTCTTCCCTCCCCTCCTCCTCCCCCACCTCTCCTCTCCTCCCCCTCCCCCACCTCCTCTACCTCACCTCCTCCCTCCCCACCCCCTCCTCTACACCTTACTCGTCCCGTTCCAACTGCACCCTCACCCCTTCCACCCGCCTCTACCCCCTTCTGATACCTGGGCTTAATTACCATGTGGCCGGTTCACCTTGTCAGTCCTCATTACTTGTGAGGCACCTCCAGCTGCCCTCGGTAGAACACCTCGTTATCTGTTTACTCAAGTAGACTAATTGGTGAGACGATGCAAAGTCAAGTCAGGGTGAGAGTAAAGTTCTAAATGTGGTTTGCGACGTCAGGTCAGGTCAAGTCAGGTCAGGTCAGGCCATGGTGAGATTAATGTTCTTGGCGAATTGCGAAGGTCATGTCATGTCAGATCAGGGTGAGATTAAGGTTGTTGGTGGTTTGCGATGTCATTTCAGGTCAGGGTAGAGTGAGGTTTGGGTTCTTCGAGTCTTTAAGTTTGTGTGGTGAGGTCAGATCAAGTAAGGTTAAGTGTTTTGGTCTCTCTGGGTGAGATTTAGGTTCTAGCACCGCCAGGTCAGGTCTTTAAGGCCGAGTGGAGTCAGGTCAGGTTGCAGAATCCATCTGGGTCAGGAATTAGGTTCTAGTTGGGTCAGATCAGGTCACGTCTTGGAGTCTGGCAAGTCAGGTCAGCTTTCGTTCAATTGGCTAAGGCAGTAATTTACATCTATTCCACAGTCTAGAACAACACTAATTGCGCCAGAGAACACACACACACACACACACACACACACACACACACACACACACACACACACAGATAGATCAGATAGATGATAGTGACTTATTTATATTATGACTTTGGCCTTTCCTTATACTCCGTCAATGGATCTGTAAACACACATCGACCAGCAATAGAAATTAACACCGGTTTGAATATGAAGAAATTTCGTGTTTTTGCCCGATGATGAATTCTTTGGGTCTTTTCAACGGTGTTTGTTTTTGTTCGATGATGAGTATTTTTTAATAGTTGTTAATTTTGTGAGATCGGGAGTACCCAGTAAGAATATTTTTGCTCTCTTGCCTCCACCAATGAGAATCTTTCACGGTTACCCAATGAGAATCAGAATAGATCAAGCAAAAACATCTTTTAAAATTTTAAAATATCTAATGAAGAGGGATATTAACTTCAAATTTGAGAAAAGGGCTGTTGAAAGGATATATATGGCAAGATCTGTTGTAAGGGTCAGAAGCGTGGACACTTTCAGCAGACACCAGAAAGAGGTTGAAGGCCTTCGAAAAATACTTTAAATTTACAGAAAAATAAAAATAAAATGAGATATTTTGGTCATATGATTAGGGATGAGGGAATAATAACAGAAATATTAATGGGAAAAGTTGAGGGTAGGAGGGCCAGGGGAAGGCAGAGACTGGGATGGTGAATGAAATTAAAAACTGAGTCCCCAAGGAGATACAAAACCTTGGAGGATTGGTAAAAACAGCCCGAGAACGTTTAGCGTGGAGGACTGTGGTCGCCAACCCTTAGATATGAGGACGGTACTCTGAGTGATTGAACGAGAATAGTTCAGGCTCTTTTACCTTAACCAATGAGAACCTTTAAACTCTCTCACATTAACCAATGAGAATTGTTCAAGCAGCCTCACCTCAACCAGTAAGGATGTGCCACGTAGCTACCGGCAGCCCCTCTCCTTCATGTCTGCAAAGAAAGAAGACAATATTTATACATTTCATTTTGAAGAATCTCTCAAACTCTCAAACATCATAAAGCTGTATAAAAGAAGGAAGCCATAATGATGTAAACACAGAGACACTTATTGTTGTTTTCTAAGTCGAGAGAGAGAGAGAGACTTTACACTGTTAGGAGCATCGTTTTGGCTTATCTTAAGACAGTGAACAAGGCAGTGTGGGTGATCTTGAGACAATTTACGAGCCAGA